CCCATTGTTATCATATTTTTTTTTTAATATAATATATTCACTGCATGTAAATGATTATGATGACAATAAAGGGGATTTTATTTTATTTATTATTTATTTATTTAATTAAGGGTAGGCAACGCATATGCAAATGCGGATGTTTATGGGCAGCGGTTCCATTTCAGTGGATTCAGGTGGCCGCTTGCTCGTTTACCGCCTTATATTATAAAAAAAACTATAAAAGTCGTAAATCTTTAAAATAAAGAGTAAAATATAAAACCCAATTAAATTGAGTTGTATTTTATTGTTTGATTTATTCTAACTGTAAACCCAATGACAAACGTTCCAATTACGATCCTATTCTGTAATTAACGGCCTGGACATTATTTTGTTCAAGCCTTCGTTTAATTAAAGGGATAGAATAAAAGCTAGCTCCAAATAGGAAATCTAGTTCGCTTCAGGAAACTCAAATAGGTTTTTTCTATTTCTTTCGATGTGCAAATAACTGTAGAATGTTCTAGCAATCTAGCTTTATTATAGTACGTGCAAGAAAATTTTCTACACTCAACGACAAAAGCTAGTAGTACTATCTTCACTTTTTAAAGTCAAAATTTATCAGAAGGATGTAAGCTAAGGATACGAAATAAAGCATTTTAGTTTTTAAGTAAAAAATTGTCAGAAAACTGATATTTTTTATATTTCGTAGCTCTATATTACTATGGAAGAATATGCAATTTAAAAACCGTACTATCTGAGGCAGTCATCTTTCTGTAAATCAAGTATTATCTTTATATTTTTTTTTTAAATCATTATAAGGGCTGATATGTTTTTACACAACTGTGTCAACAGTGGAAACAAACCTTTATTTGTATCAAGCTACTTCTAGATTACTTTTCTACATAAAGTGAACAAACTAATGTTCATACCATCGTAAACACTTCCTACCAATCCCAGCCAATTACGAGTGTAAGTGTAAAATCGTTTTTCTAAAAACCAGGAAAAGCTTTCATATAATGGGTGAGATTTTTCTAAGACAAACTGATTATCTTTCCTTGCGGAGCTTTTTCTTTAGTTGGAAATTAAGCTTACATGTACAAAGCTAAGCGGTTTACCGGAAAATCCTCTCTTATTTCCGGTTACGTAAAACACTTACACAGTACTTAAGTCAAAAAGGTTTTGTTCAAGGATGAATTGTGTATTAAATCTTTTCTTTTTAAAGAAAAGAAAAGAACGAATAAATGATTGAGTAATAACGGTTATGTTTTAATTAATATGTTTTAAAAAAAATTTCTTCCAAGCTTGCAAGAATTTTTTTTTACTGTAATTTTTCATAAAATGAAAAGATCAAAAATGATAATAATAATAAGTATTCACATATCTATACTTCTATATTTATACTAATATTATAAAGAAAGATTTGTAATTTTGTATTTTTGTATGTATTTAAATTACTCAAAAACTACTGGGCCGATTTATTAAATTATTTCACCGATATCTGTGAGTAACATAGCTGCACTCTTTATTCTTTTTTAATTCCGCGCGGGCGGAGTCACGAGCAACAACTAGTATACATGGGGTTTCATGTCCGATCACCTTTAACGAAACATAATCTGACTTATCTTATTAAAAACTCAACCAAGAATATCTATTTGTACAGGCCATAGAAACCCACGGACAGATACCTTTCACAACCGACCATATCTATAGATTACTCGTATTTATCTGTTTTCATATAAATTGATTTCTTAATTATATTAGATGTGAAGTACTTTGTTTACATTTTATCAAGTACTAGCCGTTTCCGCGCGGCTTTACACACACGACATTAACTGTATTTTATTGCTTACATTGCGTAAAACTTTCAATTGCTAATGTCAAAAAATAAATAAAAAAAAATGGGACCCGCTTGCAAGCATTACCTTTCGGATAAAAAAAGAATTATCAAAATCGGTCCACTAGCGGCGGAGTTATGCCGTAAAACATATAAAAAAAAATAAAAAAGAATATATCAACGAATTGAGTACCTCCTTCTTTTGGGAAGTCGGTCAAAAAATTGTAATACTTCAATGACAACGAAGGCTCTAGACATTGGCTGAAAATTGTCCCTTTCGTATCGTTTTTTTCAATTTATCTAACTACCTCAAATGTTTAATAGCGTGAAAATATATAGCTTAAAGCGTGTCGTAAGTAATGTTAAAAAATATTTAAAAACATATGTGATATGTAATTGCTGGCATCCTACATAATAAAGTGTATTTACACTTTATTATATTAGTATATACAATAAATATATAAGTATAGATTAAATGTTAGTTCCACGTTAGTACAGATGGTCGTTATCTTGGTATATTGTAATAGCTTATCATTTGTATTGATACAAGCATAGACAGGACGCTATTAACAATGCGGATGTGTTTACAATTTATTTGCCTTGTACTGATAAATGTTATTGCGTGAACTTGGTACCGTTAAACACATTACATCTCTATATCTTCGAAGAAATACAGTCATTTATGACAGTACTAGCTTGCTCCCGCGACTCCGTTCGCGTGGTATTAAAAAACAAAAATACCCTATGTGTTCTTCCAGACTATCCTCTTCGTTTATGCAAAATTTTATCGAGATCCGTTCAGTCGTTTAGGGTACAAACTCTAACAAACATCTATCCATCCATCCAAACTTTTGCATTTATAATATTAGTAAGAAGTAAAATTAAAAATCTAATTAGAAAATACAATTTGTCGGATAGATTTTATAACTTCCTCATTACATATGTTTGAAATTTTCGACCATAACGTCATCGATGTAAGTGAAAAAGAAAGTTTAGTTTATTAAGCTTATTCTCGATACTAGACATTCTATAAAAAAATAAATTTATATTCAAATCGATTGCCTTACGTTGTATTCTGAAGTTTTAGTGTACAGTCGCGGAAATCTGCGGTGTCCCACTTCAGGAAAAAATTCCTCGTTCCTTGCAACGAGACAAACTCTGCCTTTACCCACAAATAACTAATAAGATAACTTATAAGGTCGAACACCGCCAGTTTCCCGGACTGTACATATGTGGGATTAGAGAGCACACATGAAACTAAACTATCGCACAAATGCTTAGTTTCGCTTTGATTTCTATGAGCGTACACTATTCGATTTTCAGTTGTGCAACTAAACATTTGAATTGATTGCAAAACAATCGACAATCGCAAATCAGTGATGCGATAGTTTAGTCAAATGCGCCCGCTCTTAAAAGACAGCCATTTAATACTAGTTATTGACCTTATGGAAACATCCACGAGTCGTGTTTACGTAAATTACTCTGAACGATAAGCAGATTACGTTTATTTGTTATTTATTAACCGTATCAATAGTTACTTGTGCATGTGGACAATGTATGATGTGTGTTTGCTTTAGGTTAGCCAATACTTAACCTAATTCTTAACTTAATGATTTGTGTTGTTCTTTTATCGGTGTGAAACTACATTTTATGTTCATTTTTTATTAGCTGTCACCCGTGACTACGTATGCGCGGAATTAAATAAAACAAAAGTTAATAGCCTATAAGTTCTTCCATACTAGCCTCTACATCTATACTAGATTTCATCGAATTCCGTTCAGCCGTTTAGATTACAAACTCTAACATCCATCCATCTAAACTTTCACATTTATAATATTAGTATGAATAGTATGATAGAAGTATGAAGTCTGTGTTCTGCCAGACTATGTTCTATATGTATGCCTTGCAGTATTCAACTTTAACATGTCTATTTAGCAAGTTAGTAATAAGTAAGAGTTCGTAATTTAACCGCTACATTTAAGAAGCATAATGAAAGTCTTAGCCACTGGAATAAAATATTTTCTGATATTTGTTAAATTGCCGAGAATAAATGGGACTGTAGACGAGGAGTTTTCATAGGTCATAAATTCACATTCTATTGAGACATACTCGAATATATCAGCTCAACAATGTGTGAATAATTGGTAACGCAATTAATTACTTGTTTTCCAATAATGTAGCGAATTTTCAATTTAAATGTATATGTGAAATAGCAGAATATGTAATACCAGACATGCTCTAAGATTTCTTTGAAGATGAACAAAGCAAACGACATGCATTTTATAGATAAAATAAATTGAATTTGCTGTCCTAGAGATCACTCCTATTGTATAAGAGTCTCGATATTGTTTGAATTCAAATTTCAACCGCAACAAAATCCAAGAAACGCAGCAATTGAATTTTCTTTAGAAATAATAGGAAATATGTATTTTTATTCTGTTATGGAAATGTACACATTATTTATGCATTATATTACTTGATTTACTTTCTTCTCTTTTTTTCACAAACCTTTTTTTAATTAAAAAATAAGTCGGGAGACATGTTTTTAAGCAATGAAAACTGATATCATATAACCTTCTGCTTTAGTAAGGTACAAAGTCCAAACGCGTACCTGACATAAATCTAAGTAATTAGATGACTGATAAAACTCCTTTCCAATTAATTCTAAACTCCTTAATTAACGGTCGTGATGCGTGAGGCTGAACCCGAACCCGTATTGATTAATTACAAGATAAGATATCAGATACGATTTGGCCGTCAAACGTAAATACTTGGAACAGATTTTATAAAAGATATTCTTTAATTCGTATTAACAAAATCTTTAAATGTATGGTTCATATTTTTGACATAATTTCAGACTGAAGATAAAAGCGATAAACTAACTTAACCTCATTATTTTTTACTAATTTAATATACTTAAAAAACTATTAAATTACTTAGGAATAACAAAGTTCATTTTATGATTTATAAAGGCTAAGAAATTATTCTGAAATGCAGTAAAATTCAAACCAACTACAAAAAATTAAATACTATTATAAATTATGTATTAATTGATGAAAAACGAACAAATTCGCAAACAATTTGGTAACAATTAATACTTACATCTCCAGTAACTTTAACGCTAAAGTTTCTTCGAAAATTTGCACGTGAAAGTTTTCTCCCGGCACTCGTTCTCAAACACAATAATAAGGAATTGTAACACATTTTTAATTGAACATTAAAAGAATAATAATAAAACTATTAAACAAAGGTTATTGTATAGTGCAGTTGACACATGTTTATAAATTGATGTGGAATCAGCCACTGCGATAGTACATAATATTACATCGACTCTTATGTTTTAATATGTTATGAATTGAAATATATGACGTAGATAAAACGTTTATCACTCTATACTTCAATCCATATTGGTATTAAATTCATATTGAAGGTTAGAGTAATTTAAAAAATAAAAATGTTGACATGTTACAAAGTAAAACCTCATAACATGTAACGTTTGCAGGTACCTTAAGGTGTAACAATAACATTTTTTTTAACAGAAAGGGGTAAACAGGCAGAAAGAACACCGAGGTAATCATCTACGCCAGTGATTCTCAACCTTTTTTTTGTTGCGACATATATTTAACGATTTAAAAATTCGGCGGCACACAAAGAAAAAGAAAAAAATTATTTACTTACTATCACACACTGCATAAATAGTTTATGACAAAAATACGCAATTTTGGCAACACACTTTTGAAATTTGGCGGCACGCAAAAGTGCCGCGGCACAGTGGTTGAGAATCACTGATCTACGCCCATGGACATCCGCAATACAAGAGGACCTAAGATGCGTTGCCGGTCTTTGAAAAAGTAATATGCTCGTTTCGTATTTTACGGAATTAAACAAATTATTTACTATTCGTGTATTATTCGTGGGATCTTCATTCCAAAAACAGATAACATATTGTCATCCCACTTATTGTGTCACTCGTGTTATTAAAATATCTCTGTAAGTTTCTGCAGTGGAAACGTACTTTCAAACTTCCGTTCCATGTTCGTGATCCAATTTTTCCCCGTAGACAATGAACCGCTTCGGAATTTCCTCATTTACATGCTACCTCACAAAAATGAGTCGAATTTCGAGGCGAATTTGCGGCTGACATTCAATAAGACCGCGCAATACTCAGTTACGAAGTTGCTTTAGTTCACCTACCACTTATTACACCTGTAACTTTGAGACTAGAAATATTACTCTGAACGGAAGAGTTAAGTGCATTTAAAAAGGTAAACACATATACCACACATTAAACTAAAAGTCATCTATTTCAATCAGACGTTAACACAGTTATCGAATACACCTTCTTTGCAATTAATCAATAACAAAACTACATGCAACCATCTTTTAATAGAAAACTATTATAAATCAAAAAGAAAATAATCTATCCGTATATTTATTTCTGTTATCTATCCGTATATTTTTTTCACTCTATAAGTCCTGTAATTGAAACAAGAATAGAACCAAGGGCGGAACCAGTTTTTGCGCCAGGGGGTGGGTCACATAGTCGTCAAGGGGGTCATGACCCCATGACCGCTGTTGAAAAGAACATATAAGGTTAAGAAGAGTATAAGATTTTCACCCGTAGATGTAGTGGAAAGTGTGAAAGTTAGTGAAACGTTCTAGCAATGAATTACAATCTTATTGCCATTACCCAATCAACAATGAACTCTAAAGATAAAGAGTTCGTAAGCAATAGACACGTTTGTTTTTACATTACTGAATAGTCATATCTATGTAGGTCATTAAAATAACTTCCGCGTTATTTACACGGTCGATTGGAAGATAAACAACTTCAAAGCTATACACAAATCGTCTTAGATGTCCTTTTGAAAATAACAAAGTAAAGCATATTAATGGGTAATACGTTCATTATTGTAAATTACGCAATTAAATCTACACAAACAATAAATTTGGAGATTTCGTTTGTTATATCAAAAGAAAAATTCCTGATTTAGACAAAATGATGTATTTGCATTGCTGATAACGAAAATGGCATTTAAAAATATTTTAATCTGTGTGTGTCCGCAAGCCGCATTTTTTTTTATATAACATAAGGCGGCAAACGAGCAAGCGGCCACCTGAAACCGCCAAAAAGGCGAAGCGACCGCTGCCCATAAACATCCGCAATTGCAGATGCGTTGCCTACCCTCATACGACGGAGGAGGTGATGCACATAGAGAGGATATTTCCCCTTCCTATGCATCTCCTCCACCGTTAAATCCACTTCGTCTTCCCAACCTCTTCTTGTAAGAAAAGGGTGGTAAAGAGAAAGGGACTTAAATTAGGCCTCCGGTACCACACTCATCAGACGAAACACGGAATTGCTTCCATTTCACGCCTGTCTTCTGTGTGGTCGTGGTATTTCACCGGGCGTGCCGGCCCATTCGTGCTAAGATGTTAAAGCGGGCACTACCACTGTCAAATAAAAAAAATTGTTCCAGGTAATCTCCGAAACGGCTTGACCGATTTTTACACGAACTTTTACTGAAGGGTAGCTAACATAGACGGTTATATAGGCTACTTTTCATCTTAATACTGCGTGGACGAAGTCGCGGGCAACAGCTAGTTCTTAATAAAATTGTGTTATTTAATAACAAAATATTTTTATGACAATATCCTAATAAAAATATTTTAAGTATATGATAAAAACGAAAATAAAACTACGTTTAACGCACAAAGTTCGCAGGTTTATCATTAAAACAATATAAACAAAAAGCATTAAATGTACATCAAATTGATAGTGTTTTGCAAACGAAATTTACAAGCAACGGATGTGTTTAATTACGTGAGTAAATCATAAGTTTGAAAACAATTATGATTTACATTATCGAAGATCATTAGCGCGCCATTTTACCCCGAATTTCGGCCGTTTGCTTTTGTTCATTGTGATTTACCTCTTGCTAAAACTAGACCGAGTTCCAAACATCCAATAACTTATGATTTCATAGTTAGATTTTTATATTCCACGTTTCGTCTGTTGAGTATGGTGCCGGAGGCCCAATTTTGGTCCCTTTTCCTTCCCTTTTTCTTATAGGAAAGAGATGGGAAGCGAACGTGGATTTGACGATGGAGGAAACGCATAGGACGGGGAATGGCCAGTTTATGTGCGTATCCTCCTGCGTCAATTGAGGGTAGGCGACGCAACCACTGTTGCGAGTGTCTATGGGCAACGGTCGCTTCGCCATTTCGGCGGATTCAGGTGGCTGCTTGCTTGTTTGCCACGTTATGATATAAAAAATGTATTTTATGTATATGTAAATATTACATTGTTTAGATATTCTTGTATAAATATGAATTTATAGGTATAGTTAGTAGTAGTTCTATAATTTTAACATTAGACTAAAAAGTGACAATATTAGTAAATACAAATATCATAACAATAAAATACAATCTGGTTGGATTTTCCTACACAACGTCGCGGTCCTCGCGGGACCGATGTCGGGATATTCCCGAACTTTTAACATGTTTCACGAAAATAAAAGATGAAAAACATAGATCTATAAAAGTCTTCGTCTTTATTTCAGAGGTGGCATCATTATTAGACAATTGTTTTATTACTATCAAAGGATTGAATTCCTTATTCGATATTCAAATTAAAATGAACACGGTATAAAAAATATCTCACCCAGGTGTAGAGAAAGAAAAGTTATGAAATAATTGAAACAAAAACAATTTATTATCATTTTTAAATTCCGGAACTAACTGATAGACCCATATTTATTACGATTTGTACCTTTCATTCTCTGCTCTGTTATCTCTAAACTTCGGTGGTCTGCAATATAGTACATCGATCATTTATAACTCCATGTATAGGTAAGATTAAGAAAAATGTTTATTACGAACAAGAGTATACTAACTGTACCATTGTTGGCTGCATAACCTTTTCTTTAAGAAAGAAGAAAGGAGGTTGTGTTTATAAATCCAAGTGCTAAATATTGGACAAATGTTACTCTTACAGTTTTATGTTTTATTCTCTAGTTAATGAATTTTTATTTCCTCTGTAATGTATTGTACGTTCGACATAATTTAATCCTAAAAGATACATTCTGGTAGCGGTAATGGTAGGTACATCGCTTGGCTATTTGTTCCGAAATCCTGTATTATAAGAAGTTATACTAGGTGGCTACACAATTCTACGCATTCCTCTATAACTTTTTATATCATAAGGTGGCAAACAAGCGATCTCCTGACTACATTAAAATGGCGAAGCGAGCCTGTCTACTTGTAATCGACGAAGAAGAAGATGGACATGAAAGAATGAAAAAGGGACTATAACTAGGCCTCTAGCACACTGGTCAAACTAAACACGGAATTGCTCCCAATATACGCCTGTTTTCTGTGTGGTCGTGGCACCGGGCGAGTCGGCCCTACAACGCGAAGGTGTTAAAGCGGGATCTAGCACTATTAATTTATACATAGTACAACCATTAGGTTGGCATGGAGATGCCATAATTGGCAACCTGAACCTTCGACACTGCTGCTCTTAATAAGGAACGTGTCCTTTTATTATACCACTGGCGCAGAATTTTAAGCCAAGATATACGTCTTCTTACTAGATTCCTTTTGCCCTGTATAATCAACTGTAATCTATACTATTATAATAAAGCGTAAACACACACTTCTTTGTTGCCTAAGATGTCAGCAATTGCAGCATATTTTTGAATAATAATTCTTTTAATAAAAAGCCCTACACTTATGTCACGCTTTAGGCTATATATTTTTACGCTATTAAACTTAGTTGGTAAATAAATTGGATAAAAATCCTAATGTGAGAAAGAGACCATAAGTTGCTGCCAACATCAAGGAAGCAAGATTGCCATGAATTGTCATCATGTCATGTCATTTTGACATTTGCAATTGATAAATTGACAAATGTAACCGATAAAATGAAGTTTTTACAATTACCTGCGGAAAAGCCGTATGGGAACAGCTAGTAATTTATATTTTTAACCTCTCATTATATGTCCAAGGTACTCTAACTTTCTCTTTTTTATTGTTTTTAATATTTCATGTTCTATCCCCAGTCGTTGCAACACTACTTCATTGCGAACTTTGCGATGTACATGTTACATAGTACATGAACCACAGATATTATATTATTACAAATGCAGCTTATTCAGTATTTTGTATAAAGTCCGTATAACGTTATCTACTTAATAGCTCTTATCTGAAATACTCGTTTAAATAAATGATACAACAGAGAGCAAGCGAAACGGAATGCATTACAACTATATAAATAATTGCAAATCAATATTCATGTTTGATGAATATTTAGTTTGATAAC